CCATGGCGGCCTCGTTAGCGCGCGCATGCTACTTGGGCTGGGACTTCAGCACGCAGCAGGTAGCCGGGGTGGGAGGATCCGCCATTGCCCCGGCCCGGGCCCGGCAGCGCCCGCATGTCATGTCATGTCGGGTCTGGGCCCAGGCCGGCGCATCCGTGCGGGGCAGCCCCCGGCAGTCGCAGGGAGCTGGGGTCGGGCCCGGCCCGCGGGGCCAGTAGTGCCCAGCGCGCGGGGCAGACCCGTTGGCTTCGGGGACTAAAAAAAACTGACTAGGCCAAAAAAACCCCAAACCCCAGGCAGAGGAGCTGGTTTCATTCCTCCTGTCCTCCCTGCGCGTCTGAGCCCATCGCCCTAAAACAAAATCTGGTCTTCTGGAGCATCTCCTGCGCCTGCGTGTCCAGGTTTTCAGCTGCGGGTGACAGCGGGGGCGGCCCAGGCGAACGGCTCCTGCAAATGACAACGTGGCTGGAGATGAGCAGGCCCGGGCACAGTGGAGAGCCGCGGGCACTGCCTGCGTAGGAAGGCCGCTGCTTCTCCGGTGCTGTTGGGTTTCAGTGAAAACGGGTGCGAGAGCCCCCCTCCTGGATTCGCCGCTCTTCGGGGGTAAATCCAGCCACTCTGTCTGCTGCGGCATGGTAGTCGTTGGGACGAGCGCCCCCACCACTGTTTTGAAGCATGCCGATACGTGAGACGCTCTGGGCGCTTTAATTAGAGCAGGTCCAAGAGTGGCTGAAGCTGACAGAGGCGAGACATGACACACATTTTTATTAGAGCTGCTTTAAAGTGCTTCCCGCACACTCCCAGAGCACGTGTGTCAGCGATCTTAGTGCTCGTCTGTGCTGGGCTTTAAACACCTACTGCATCTGAGTGGTTTATCAAACTGCTGCACCAGACGGGTCACTTTTTCCTTCAGTCGGACTGGTTTCCTTAGCAGTGATTTGAACGAGTGCAACAAGTGCGTAGCTAGCCTGGAGGCTAAGATCCCAGGCCCTTGCTAAGGAGGTACTAGTGAAGGTGAGGCGGTGTAAAAAGAAAACTGCCGCTGCAATAGGGAGTGACAGCTGGAGAGGAGAAAGGGGACAAACCATACCTGATGGGCAGGGGCAGGCTGAGAAGGGGGGAAACAAACTAGGAGCAATAGAGACTTGGAGGCCTGAAATTCAAAGCTCCTGTCGGATCTGAACCCACCTCAAGGTCTGAGGATGCATCAGGAGGTTTAGAGGTGACTCGGGTCTGCATGCGGCTGAACCACGGTTCATTTGTATCTGGGGGGCTCGCAACCCACCCTACTTGGTTCACACTGGGTTGCTGAATTAAGAATGAGCTGCCGAGCTGTTGACTGCAGCTTTTACTTCAAATCAAAGGGCACCATTGCTCTGATCGGCTGGAGCACTGCTTTGCTGTGGTTATATCTGTCCCTGGATCCGTCACAAGCCCTCATGCTTGCAGAAGGGTTAAGAACAAAATCATGCAAAGTCCCACGTACCTCCGTCTTCCTGTCTCATGCCATTTGCTCTCTTAATAGGAGCTTTCAGCCTAGAGTTGTGATACACGTAGAATGGGGATTACACATCTGCTTGTCTTTGGTTGGCAGCTTGCTCCTGCCACGCCAAGTGTGGGTGGTGTTAAGTTGGTAATAAGCAACTTTTATCCACAAAATAAATTTGAGCCATTTTTTATCATCTACCAAACCACTTGCTGTAGATTGCTGCTTTTTGGGATACAGCGGTGTATGCTGTCTGAGTTTCAGTGGGGTACGTGAGCTTGGTTACCTTGCCCTTGATTCCAGGATGAGGTATTTTTTCTGTTTAACATGGAAGGAAAAGCCCCTTTTCTTGGAAAGGGGAATGAGGTTGTGAAGGTTTGAGTATGAGGCTGCGCTGGCTCTGGTTCCACCTTGGGGACAGGGCCAGAGCTGCGACTGCTGCTGGCCCTCCTACCACCTCTGTCTCTGCCCTTCTTGTCCCAAAACAAAGTCTGCCCATAGTCCTGTCCCATACTGCTGCCCCCCAACCCCCCAAGTGACCCAGCTTTTTTCACTGCAGCTGTGGGTGGCGGGGTGTGAATTTAAGGTGACCCTCCAATAATTGTATTCTGTACAGGGAGAGTCGCAACAAATTTATATATTTTCCATGTATAGTATTGAGTTATTGGGAGAATCATCTTAAATTCAAGGTTGTCTTGGATTCAAGTAAATACTGTACATTGTCATCACTGGGCAACAGAAGTAACACTTCACAGAGATGAAGGGGACAGTTTCCCTGTCTCCGCTGTTGTTCCAGGTTCCCTACCAGCTTATCTTTGTGTTTGTAACTGTACCTTTACCTTGACTTCATTGAAGATGCCTTGCAATAGCCTGGTTTCAGAGAACTACTTGGGTGATGTATAGTAACGTTTCTG